GCCCAGAACTGGAGGGCAGTCAGAGACATGCTAGGACATGGCGAGTGGCCAGGCTGCTAATGGCCTCAGGAGCAGGGGAAGTGAGACAAGTTTGGCTCTGGGGGTGGAGTTCTGAGCCATGCATACAGATTCCAGAAAATTCCTCTGATCTTGGGGATACTCGCCTCCCCTCCATTTTCTCCCTCTGACAGCTGAAGCTCTGGGGACTTGGCCTAGGCTAAGGGCGCCCTCCCCTCTTCAGGCCCAGCACACAGGTCCCCTGACCATTCCCAGGTAGAGTGGGCTCTGTGCTTGTCCTGACTCCAGGCAGCCACGGCCCCGCTGGGGTCTCCAATGCCCCTAAAAAGGGGCCCCTCCACCTCTGCAAGGTTGTCCCGCCAGCCCTAGGGCTCCTGCACGTACCTGCAGGTTCCCCCCCGACGCTGCCAGGGCCACCCCATCCTTCCACCAGCGGAGGCTCGGGGTAGGTACCCCAGTCCCTGCACATCGGAGGGTCACAGGCTGCAGGAAAGGAGCTGTGATGTTCTCACCCCCAATGATGACCACAGATGGGAGCTCTGGGCAGGGGAGAGGCAAGGAGGGTTAAGTCAAAGTCAGGAGGGATGCAGTGGGCACCCAGCAACCCCTCAGTGCCTGGGGGGTAGGGGTGGCTTTGCAGGGCTGCCCTCTAATGTCCCCCATCAAGCCCCCAGACACCTGGCTTAGGGGGAGAGTGCCAGACCAGGAGCCAATAGGGCAGGTCTGTCCTTTCTTTAAAAAATCTCCCATCCGTCCATCCATCCATCCATCCATCCATCCATTGAGCATCTAGTCTGTGCCTCAAACTGTCCTAGGCCCAGGGAACAGCAAAGAATGGTGGCCACGCTGTATCCTTCTTAGAGCTCCCAGAGCTGGGCCACAGAGATAGACAACCACACAAGCACTCCCAATACAGTGGGTGGCGAGCTACAGCCAGGAGAGGGTACTCAGTGTGGATTAGCACCATGGTGGAATCAAGGAGGGCTTCCTGGAGGAAGGGGTGGTTTAGGACAGGCCTGAAAGACAGGGAGGAGCTAGCAGGCAAAGAGGGAGAGTGTTCCAGGCAGGGAAACAGTATTTGCAGGCTTGGAAATAAGAGAGCTGATGTATTGAAAGAGTTGAATGAAGTTCGTTGTGGTCAGCATGGAGAGGGGGAAGATTGGGTAGAAAAGTGAGGGCCCGTGCACTGGACAGGTAATAAGTGTGGCACACAGCTAAGACCAGCCTCTCATCCTGCAACTCTTTGGGGAGCTGGGAAGTCCAGCCCAGAAGCACTGTCCCGAGAAGACCAGCCCCATGTCCTTCCCAGGTCCACCAGGCCTGCCAGAGGCACACACGGCCCTCTGAATCCACCCACCCTGGCCCGTCAGGCTGCCTGTGCCCGCTCACCATGCACCGACAACTCCACCTCGGCCCCGGCAGTGCCTGCTTCATTGGTGGCCTGGCAGGAGAAGAGGCCCGCGTGGCCCGGCTCCACACGGTCGATGTGTAGTGTGGTCCCCTGGGAGGCCACCTGCACCCCCGACAGCTCCTCAGCTGGGCGGCCATTCTGCAGCCACCTAAGGTGGGTGGGCAGTGGGACAGGTCAGCCTGAGTCCAGGGAAGGCAGGATCACAAGGACAAGCCAGGAGGCCTGGCAGCATCTCCCACCTGCTTGCACGGCCCTGGCCTCTTTCATATTCCTAAGGGGAAGTGTCTCCTGTCCACAGGTCCCCACCCACTCCAAAGCATGTGCTCTCTGCCCGACACCTCCCAGTCCTAGCCCCAGTCTCCACCACCCCATACGCACTGGATAGTGGGCACCGGGGAGCCTGACGCCTGGCAGGGAAGGTCCAGCGGCTGTCCCACGAGGGTGGTCACCTGGCCCAAGCCTTCAGCCACCAGGAGTTGTGGGGGCACTGCAGGCAGGACCCCCCTCCCCATTGAGTGTTTAGAGCTGAGCAAACCCTGGCCTAAAGCCCTCCCAAGTCCCCAATATCCCCAGAGCAAGGCCCAAGCCTCACCTCACCCTTCAAGTCCCCCCATAAGTGGTCCCTCCTCCAGGAGGCCTTCCAAGACCACCCAAGGCCTGACGGGTGGCCTCCCCTCGAGTTCGTCCTGTTTATTCAATGTCTGTCTCCCCACTAGACCCAGGGCTCAGGAGTCCTGCCTGCTTCGTTCCCTGACTTATCTCCATCACCACACGGGCTGGCCCAGAATGAATGCCTGAGAAATGTCTGTCCAATGGGAGAAAGCAGGGGAAGGCCACACCCCACCATCCCCAGGACCACCTTCCACGACCCGGCTTTAGGCCTCAGGGAGTTCTCAACGTCCATTCTATTGGTGGGGGGCAACTCCTGGAAAGCCGGGGCTGTGGGGACTCGGGGGGACAGGCCTGGGCTCACCCTGCACGTCCACGGCGTACTGCAGCATGGCCTCGCCTGCAGGGCTGCTGGCCACACAGCTGTACAGGCCTCTAGATGCTTCCCCCAGGCTCTCCAGGCTCAGCACGCCGCCGCCCGCCTCCAGCCAGGTCCTGTTGCTCTCTGCCACGGGCAGTCCCTCGTGGTGCCAGGACAGGGTTGGGGGTGGGTGGCCTCTGGCCACACACTGCAGCGCCAAGGGCTTCCCAGCCACGGCCTTCACTAAGTGAGGCTCTCCACCAGCGCCCTGGATGGTGGGTGGGACTAGGGGAGAGGCACGGGGGCTGCTCAGGGACCAGAGTGTGACACAAACCCTGGTTAAGCCCCTGGCCAACTCCACAACATGTGACAAGACTCTCCCCTCACCTCCACTGGCTGAAACCCTTGGTTCAAATATCAGCTCCTCCAGGAAACCTGACCGAGGACCCTGGTTCGCAGCATTCTCGCCCTCCTCTGCCTCTTGCTGGAACCCCCTCCCCAACAGTTTGCATCTTCTCTCCATCCCCTGCTATCCCTGTAGGTTCATTACAGGCACAGCAACAGCTGGTCTATGTGCATCTCCAGGAGCGGCACACAGTAGGTCTCAGTATCTACTGAACTCAAAGTGACGGGCTCCCAGGCTCAAGATCAAAGCCACCACTCCTACAAGTCCCGTGCCTGGCCTGAGGAAGCAGATAACTGGGGCAGACCCCATCCCAGATAGCCCGTGATGGCCAAGGGGGCAGCCAAGGGGGGCTTCTTCCTCTTCGGGAGGCCCCCCCATGTTGCTGAGCCCGTGGAGCCATCGCCAGGGGACACGGGGCAATGATGGACTGGGATGTGCCTCTCAGCCTTGCTTGGGTTACAAGCCTCTTTGAAAGTTTAATGAAAACACACACATGCATTTTCCGTTCAATTTCCAGGAGGTCCTCAGACCCCTGGGTCAGAGGCCCCAAGCTGGCAGTTAGGCTCATCCTCAGAGGCTGCCCACAGACCCCTCACAGTCCAACTTCCCTTTGGGGTCCCTGGGGCTCCAGCAGCCAAGCCCTCTGCATCTTAGTGGCCCAGGGCTCCTGAGGTGACTCAGCATTAGGGGCCAGGAGGACCCCAGTAGCCTGCATTCTGCCCGCCAAACCTCACCAAGCCCTGCTCAGACCCCATCCCTGCCCTCCTACACACGCCTTTTCCTCTGAGCTCTCTACGTGGCCTCAGAGCCAAGCCCCTGGAGACAGCCAATGCCAAGGTTAATAGGGCAAGACTGGTGGTCAAAGCCCCCGGGTCCCATCACCTCCTAGCAGGGTGACCCTGGGCCGGCATCTCCAGCCCCAGAGCCCACTCTGCTCATCCGTAAGTGCAGACAAAGGCCCGAGTCCCTACAGCTGATTAAAGGAGATGATGCTGTGAAGGGTCCCAGGGGCTCTGGCTCATGGTGATTAATTGAGAGCAGTTAATTATTAGTAGTGATCGTGGGGGTCTGGGCGTGGTTTCGTGAAAAGCCCTAAGTCATGAGAGGAAACCAGGATTCTCCACTGGGCCTGTCGGGGCCCCTAGACAGGCCCTGCTGCTCCTGGCCTCAGTTTCCTTGCCTGTAGGAGGGAAGTTAGATGAGCTGAGATGACCCTTCTCCCTGGCTAACTCCTTAGTCCCATTATCCTAGGCCTTTGGCCACTCCCCTCACTGACCAAGGTGGAGGCCATCTGGCCCAGACGCCCTCCCTCTGCCCATCCCAGCTGACCACTGCTCATCCCAGCTGACCACTGCCCACTGCTGTAACCCCGGCCACTCACCATAAACCTCCAGCCTGGTGGTCTTCTCCGTGATCCCCACAGAGTTGTTGGCCTTGCAGGTGTAGGTGCCAGCGTCCGAGACCTGGGCCCTCCCCAGCTGCAGCTGCCGGCCGCCTCTGGTGTAGACAGCCTCAGGGCTGGGATGGAGCGGGACCCCGTCTTTGAACCAGGTGATGTCAGGAGCCGGCACTCCTCGGGCCTCACATAGGAACCACACTGGGTGGCCCTCCATGACGGCCACCTCGCTTGTCTCGTTGGAGCCCCAGATGGTGGGAGGTGCTGAGGACAATGAGGGGGCAGTTACAGGGAGCCCCCCAAGGCAGCTGGTGTCCCAGCCCCCAGAGTGGCATACACATGCCGAGGGCCACACGCACTTCACGTGTCACAGGCTTCTATTGCAGGGGAGAGGTGAAGAGTCTGGGGACAGACAGGAGAGACCAGCTTGGGACATACTGACATGGAAAGAAAGCCAGGTCATCTGAAGAAGTGCAGAAACTGGGGGTGGTCACAGCTGGGGTTCTGGACCCCACTCTGCCTCTGACTGGCTGCATGACCCGGGTGGGTCACCTCCCCTCTCTGGGCCTGTCTCTCCATCTGTAAACTGAGGGGCTGAACTAGATCAGGGGTTCCCACGGGGCAGGTCGCACGCCGCCAGTGGTACCAAGGTGACCCTCGGGGTGCATGGGCACACGGCATGAGATAACACTGCATCTCACCGTGGAACGGCTACGCCCTTCCCAAATCTCCTTCCATCCTGATTACGACAAGGAAAAAGGCTCTGCTTGTATGGCTATGTACTCAAACTTCCCAGCACTTTCTCCTCAGCCCTTTACCACAGAGGGCGGGCACAGCTCAGCACCCCGGCAGGCAGCTCAGCCCTCAGAATTTTCCACCTGGCTTTCTTTCACTGCATTTGATTTCACAGCTTCCTCCCATGAAGGCCAAGTGGCCCTGCTTTTCCACTTACAGTTGAGATATTAAACATCCCTTTAAATAAATGTTTCAGTATAAAGAAAAGTGACTTGATTTAAAGAAAGAGTTAACGAAGCAATCACCCTGAGTGGTATCAGGAATGTAAAACTTGCAAAGCGGGGATAGGGACCGTGGGATTTGGAAGACGTTAGGGCAGATCCCCTCTGTTCCCTCCCTCCCAGCTTTACTGGACCAGGGGCTTGCTTCTTGAGGTCCCCATTCTGTCCCCATCCTCCCTCCATGCACTGGGCAGTCGACGGGAGCTTGGTGAGCAGCCCAGGGTGAGGCTGGGCAGAGGCCGGGCTCACAGTGGATTCTGAGCTGGAAGTCCTTCGCCTGTTGGCCCGCCGGGCTGAAGGCCACGCACTGGTACCGCCCCTCGTCCCCCAGGTGACTGCTGGTGATTCTGAGAACCTGGCCGTCCTCCTGGAGCTGGATGTGAGGGTCTCCCGGAAGGATAGGCCTGGGAAGGTCGGGAGAACAGTCAGGCCGAGGCACTGGCAGCGACAGGCTGCTCTCGGGACAAGGAGGGCCAAGAGATTCAGTCGCCAAAAGGTGCAAACAGTTCAAGTGCCCATCGATGGGTGAATGGATACACCAAGTGACACCTACGGTGGAATATTATTCCGCTGTTTAGAGGAAGTGCTGACACATGCTACAACACGGATGAACCTCGAAAACTGTGCTAAGTAAAAGAAGCCAGACACAAAAGGCCACAGATTGTGTGACTACGTGACAGTTACATGAAATACAGGTAACTCTACTGAGACAGAAAACAGATTGGTGATTGCAGGGGCTGGAAAGGAGCCGAGGGAGTGACTGCTGATGGGTATGGGGTCTCCTTTGGGTTCCAGGACTAGACAGAGGTGATGGTTGTGCAACACTGTAGGTGTGCTAAATGCCACTGAATTGTGTACTTTAAAATGGTGAATTTCAGGTTATGAGACTTTTACCTCAAATATATATTCAATCAATCAATCAATAAATCAATAAAAAGGAAGGCTGAGTGATAAAACCCTGCTGGGTGAGCGCAGCAGCTCACCTGGGGGGTCCCAGGCCGGGGTGGGAGGGGCCCACACTGCCCTCTACCTGGCCTTGGTGGCACGTGCAATGCATGTCAAGCCCCCACAGAGCCCCCCCATCTACCTGGCCCAGGCCTGGGCACCATTCCTACGCCATTCGCCAGGGTTGCCACTCACTGCCTGTCCTTGGTCCATTCCACCTGGGGTGTGGGGACCCCTGAGGTCCGGCACTCCAGCTCCACCTCGGCACCAAGCAGGCCCAGCACCTCCTGGGCAGCCCCAGCTCCGAGCAGGGAAGGTGGGACTGGGGACGAGAAGGGGTAGGGGTGAGACGGCTCGAACCCTGCAAGCCCTGACCACTGCAGGGCCTTTGCCCGGGCATGTCCCCCTGCCTGGTGCACCCTTCCCTTCTCCTGCCCGTCCTGGGAAGCCCCCCACAACCCTGGCTGGGCCGGGCCCCGCCCTGTGCTTCCTCAGCTGCCTGCCTTATTCTCTTGTAGCGCATGACACAACAGTCGTTACTTGGGTAATTATGTAATTGTCTAATGTCTGCCCTGATAGCTGTGTGGGGACTACCATGGGGTCTGGTGTGGGCCCCTCTGTGGCCCTGCTCTCAGCAGACAGAGTCTTCCCTGTCCCCTCACCCACCCAAAGGGTAGGGGCTGCAGGGCCAGACACAAAGAGCTGTGCAGGCTGCAGCCTCACTCACTGAGCACGAGGAGACCGAAGTCCTTCTGGGCCGTGCCTGCCGGGTTCTCTGCCCGACAGGAGTAGAGGCCAGAATCGTCCTCCTGGATCCTTGGAAAGTGGAGGGCCCGGGCCCCATCCAGGAGGTGGTGACTGTCCACCTCGGGTATCTGGGCAGAAGAGGCCAGGGCGAGCCAGTGAGTAGGGTCTGGCCACCCCCTGGCATCAGCAATATGGAAACCGAGGCCCAGGGAGCTAGCGGGTTGGTGGCAGGAACCTGGGCTTCTGACTCCCAGGACAGTGCCGTGCCCTCTCCACCATGCAGCCCTCCAGGCTTCATCATTGGACCACAGTCCTTCCCCACCCTGAGCCCAGTGCATCCCTAAAGACACCTGTCACATCTCCCTGCCACACCTTGGCACTCACAGGAACCTGTCCAGAAGGCCCGTACCCTCTAAATCCCACTGGCAGACCGGCTGCCCCAGGGGACACCTACCAGCTGCCCGTCCTTGAGCCACACGATCTCAGGGGCTGGAAAGCCATTTGCGTCACACTCCAGTGTCAGGGACTGCCCAGCCATGCCCGACACGTTGGCCCTGTGTCCGTCCTCCCGGATGCTGGGGGGCACTGGGAGCAACAAGAGGCAGACGAGCTTTCCCCCAACCCAGGACCACAGCTGCCGGCGCTCCGTCTGGACCGCTCTTCCTGGCCTGGACAGGCAGCCCCAGATTCTGGGGTCCCGGCCCCCACCCTGGGACCCGCACACCCGGGGTGTGCCCAGGCACTGGTGCTGCCCCCTGACAGTCAGCTTCACAAGATGCCGGAGCTCCGGATCCACCCAGTTCTACACTCAACCTGTTGTCATGGTCACCTGCGAGGGTCCCAAGTCAGAATCTCTGAAGGCGGGGCCTGGGTTGTCTTTGTAACAAACTTGCCAGGCAAGTCATTACATGGTGAGCCCAGGTGATTGGTCACAGGGAGGTGGGAGGTGGCCGTTAAAACCGCTTCTCCCATCCACCTCCAAGATGGCTATGTGGAGGGGAAGGGCGTCCCTCTGCACACAGTACAGTGGATAGGGGGCTGGAGGACCTCTAGGGAGCTGACAGGGAAGATATGAGCTTGGGTCACTCCAAGCAGCTTTCAGTGAAGGCGGGCCATCAGCTCTCATTTTAAAATGACGTTACCTGCTAGACCATTCTAAGGCCATTGATGGAGTTCCAGGTTTTCCCCCTCACACTGTCTCTGTGGGGTCTCTCTGAGGAAGGGGTACCCGTGTACACCGCCGCTCTCCCAATGACATCTCCAAGCCCTCCCCCCACCCCAAGGAGCCTGCAGGCTCCCCTGCGGAGCCCTTGAGCCCTGGGCATCCTGGGGTACCAGCTGCCCCAGCTCTGGGGGCCCTGCTCACCGTAGACCACCAGCTTGACTCTCCTGGAGGCGGAGCCCGCCTCGTTGGTGGCCAGGCAATCGTAGTCTCCGCCATCGGTGGGAGAGACAGCGGTCAGGAACAGAGAGCCCTCATCCAGCACTGCCAGGCCCGGCCGGCCACGCAGGGGCTCCAGGGACGGGCCCTTCCGCCATGTGACCTGCGGCTTGGGCACCCCTGGCGGGGCACAAAGAGCCACCGGCATGAACATCCCCCCACACACTCACACTGCCCCCTGTGGGCATGTCGCTGACCCTGCCCACCCAATGCTGCAGGTCCACAGTCTCCCAGTGCCCTGGGGGCCACGGGCACACGGGCTGAGAGCCTCTTTCTAGTTCCTTCTCAGAGGCCCCACCTCACATGGAATTGCACCCCACCGGCACTCCCACGCCCCTGGCCTGCCCTCCATTTCCTTTGTGCCATCACCTCCAACTTTCTCACTGATATAAACACAATAGTTTAGGTTTCTTTGTCTATCGTCTGTCTCCCCACAGGAGCTGGGGGTCTTTGCTTTGTTCCCTCTGCACCCCCAGCGCCTGGCACATAGTAAGTAGGTGAGCATCCTGTGTCACTGTCCATGTCCTCTGCCACCACTAGTCATCGGGGCTCGCAATCATTGCTAATTACACCGTTGCTAATACTAATTATCTTCAGCGACACCCTGCGCTTTATCTGCCACCTCCCTGGTAGCGCAGGTGCCTGTTGTAAACACACTCGCTCTGTCTACAGGAATGGCCGTTGGAGGGAAGGGTGGGCTTGGAGTGTGGGATCAAGATGTGGCATGCCCAAGGCACCCTAGGTGGCTTCTCTTTCAGGAGGGTCCCTGGCCCCAGTCTACCTTGCATTGGCCACTTCTTAAAGTGCTGGGGACCCTGCCTGCTGCCTGTGACGGAAAGGAAGGGCCCTCTGCCAGCTGCCCGCTCTGTGCACCTTTGGGCAAACTACTTAATCCCATCCCCGGGGCTGTTTCCTCACGGAATCCTCTGCGGTTTCCTGCCCCAGTGTCCCACTGCCAGGACCTCCTCCCCTACTGTGGGGATATGAACACACACGCACCCACACACACACAGATGCACCACAAGCCCCTCCAAGCTCCTCCAGCTTCTCTGAGAGCCCCACCCACTCCCATCCCCCCACCGCCCAGGGGACCAGGACTTCAGAGCTGCTGGCCTGGGGGTGCACTGGGTTTTGAACCCTGGAACTTTTTTTTCCTTGTTAATTAAGTTATTGAGTTATTTTTATTATTTTTTTTTCGGTTCAGTCTTACAGAGGCTAGAGGATCCATGGAGTGCACCAGAAAGGCAGCCTTTGGAGAGCTAGTGGGACAGGAGGTTAGAGGATGGAGGTGAGGGGGTGGGGGAAAAGGGTTTTTGGGTTTTTTTGTTTGTTAGTTTGTTTGTTTTTTAGCTGAGCCCTCCTGCCACCTGTTGGCAGCTCAGCGGCAGCTCAGCTCGGGCCAGGAATCAAACTGCTGTTGCTCAGAGATCAAACTCTTGAGCGAGCTCTTAACCAGCTGAGCCACTCGGCCGGCCCAGGGCTTTTGTTTTTAATGCAAAAAAACCAAACCTGTAAGAGAGCTCAAACCACAGAGCAGCAGTGCAGCTCTGCAGGGGAGGATTTCGGGGACTCAGAGTTGCCCCTGAAAACCCCTCACCTCACCTCTCCACTCCAATTTTACAGGGCCCAAGAGAGGAGCAGTGACAACTCAGGGTCACCAGCAAGTCGGTGGCCAGGCTTGTGGCCCGCTGTCCTGCGCCACAAGGAGGAGGCAGATGGCGTCACCCGTAGCAGGGACCAGGGCTCCCACGTTCCAGCGCCAGGCTGGGCACGGTCTCCTTTTACACTCTGAGCTCACCAAGCCCCAGGTCACATGGTTGGGGAGTGCCAGTGCCCAACATTGCCCATCAGGCGGTCGCCTGATTGAAAAAGAAGCAGGCCAAGGGCAGCCGGGGGCAGGAGCTGGCAGGGCAAGGCAGTGTTTATCGGAGGGGGCTTGGGTTATGCTGACGTCTGGCCCAGAGGACTGGCCCCTGAATGTGGGCAGTGCTGAGGCACCAAGGGCAGGAGACGGGGCTGGGTGGGTCCCACCTCCTGAGAGCGCAGAACTGCTGCGTGCTGTTACCAGAGACCGACACAAGATGGTGCCATGGTCAAGGTCCGTGGCTTCAGGCCCTTCCAGGGGGGCCGTTCTGCAGACTGGGCCCCACAGGCTCCCACAGCTCCCACCTGATGCCTGCCTCCTACCTGCCTCCCCCTCAGTCCCGGTCCAGGGACTTCCCTGGGCCCTGTGGCACAAGGAAGCACAGCTGAGACTAGAACCAGCTACCAGGTTCCCGCGAGGCTTTTGGTAAGCTGCACCTGACGCCTCAGACACCCAGACACCCGGGCTTCTAGAGAGCACCATCCACGCACAGGGGACCCAGCGCGTCCTCTCAGCAGTCACAGACGAGCCCAAAGCCGAAAGCAGCAAGTGGCTCTGCCAGGCGTGGCCGGGTCCATCACTCATTCACGCAACACTCATTCGCTCAATGCATTTCCCTGCGCCCCCTGCTATGTACCAGGATCTAAAACGCATGTGTTCCCACTGAGCCCTCACAGCAGCCCTGAGTGGAGGAACTGGGGTGATGCCACCGTACAGATGAGAAAATGGAGGCTCAGGAAGGGGTGTCAGCTGCCCCGGGCTGGGAGAGCCAAAGCAGGGTTCAGTGCTAGCAGCTTGCCACAGAGGTACACCGCCACCCCTAAGGGGGCCTCAGAAGGCTGGTTTGCCCAGGACCACATGAATCCATCCTCCATGAGAAAGTCAGGGGTGGGGGGAAAGGCAGAGGCCACTGAGCCCCAATCCACAAGGACCCTTGGGCCTTCCCTCGCCCCAGCTGTTACAGTCCCCAGGCACAGGGGTCCTGGAGCCTAACAGGCTCTTGGGGCTGGGGCCGAACCACACCACACTTTGTGAAGCACCTTCCTGGCAAGCTGCTTACCTAGGCCTGGGTTGCCCCTAACAAAAAAGAGCTAATGCTAATTAATCCCCAGCCTCTAGGCTGTCGATGAGATGACGTGCCTGGCATGGCTCTGGCTACAAGTCAGGACCCCATAACCCTGCATAACCCATGGGACTGCCCACAGCGTGTGACCCAGGGCACTGAATGTGGCTGGGGGCTCCTCCCCAACCTGGCCCACCCTGGGCCCAGCCTCACCTCTGGCAGGGCATGGCAGGCTGGCATTCTCTCCCACCACTCTCTCCAGCAGGCCGTTGGTCTCATCGGTCCCCCAGTATGGCGGCTCTGGTGGGAGGCGATGTGGCCACAGTCACACCCCTGAGCCCAAAGATTGATGCTCCCCCCAGGGACTCAGGACCAATGAGGAGGTTGCCGCCCACCAGAGCCCTAGCCGGGCATAAGGGGGTACCAGCCCTGTGCTCCCACCCTCAGCCTCAGGGCGAGTGAGTCAGGGCCAGTGGTGCAAGCTTGCCCCCCCATACACACCGCCACTCCCCCAGTGGCCCACAGAGCAGCCGGCAGGGCCACACACGGCCCCACAGAGGCTGAGCTTGGGTTCTCAATGACTGGGGGCCGAGCTTCGTCCTGCCCTGCACCTCCTCTCCAGCAGCAGCTATCCAAGTTTGTTTTCATTAGATTCATAATAGAGAAAATGCTAGTGCTATTAGTCCAGAACTTTTTATGTACCAGGTGTTTCACACACATTCTCTCGCTGACCCCCTCACATATCATTGGACCCATTTTACAGGTGAGAAAACTGAGGGTCAGAGAGTATACGTGACTGGCCTACAGCTGTCCAGCTGGTAAGTGACGAAGCTGGACTGGGGCCCACGCCCTGCTCTTCAATCACTACCCACGGTGCCTTCTGTCCACGCCAGAGGACAGAGTATCCACGGGGCTGACAAAGGCTCCCTGACATCTCAGGGCTGGGGGTCCAGGAGGAAGGCAGGGGTCAAGCAGGCCCCGAGCCCAGAGGGCAGACAAGTGTCTCAGAAGCCCAGGCTGCTGTTGAGGAGGTGGGGAGCCATGAGTTCTGGGGTTCAGGGACTCACCCAGCACCCTGAGCTCCAGCTCCCAGGCGTCCACCCCGGCGTCGCTGGAGGCCTCACAGCGGTACATGCCAGCATCGGAGGTCTGGATGGCTGCAAAGTGGATGGAGCCCTCGGGCCACCTGCCATTCAGGGCAACCCCGTCCTTGGACCACGTCAGCCTGGGCTCTGGGGTGCCTGCAGCCACGCAGTTCAGGTCCAGAGCTTCCCCCGCCAGGGCCTTCAGAACCCGCGGGCCTGGCTGCACCTGTGGGGGGACTGACAGGGCCGTGGGGAGGGGTGTCAAGGTGGGGGCCCTGGGTGGGGGGTGTCAGAGCTTAGACCCATGGTGTCGTGGCTGGAATCATTCTTGTCGTTCCATCTCCAGCTCCCCCTGCCTTGGGCTCTGGGAGGATGGTGGTGCTCATGTCTTTCTCATTAGTGTTGTTAAGTCACTTTCCCACCTTCCATCTCACTTGGTCCTTCCTCTGGGGCAGGTGATGCCATGCCCATTTGGCGGATGAAGACACTGAGGCTCTCAAAGGTTATGTGACTTGGCCAGAGTCACCCACTCCCTTGCCTGATTGGAGCTGGAGCCAGCCCCACCCCTGGGTCTGTGTGACCAGGAGTCCAGGGGATTTGGACCATGTGGGCCCAGGAAAATTCATGGACCCGACGGGCCACCCTGCTCCGGGGGTGCATGGGAGACTGGGCCTTCAGGGAAAGCTGAGGAACACCCACTTCCTTCCTAGTTTCAGAGAAGCCCGAGAAAAGACCATCCATGGGAACATGGCACCCCACACACACACATACACACACACACTTGCTGAAAACTATAACAGCTTGCACTGCGCTGAGCGCCTGGTGTCATCAACAGCCCCTCTGACTATGGGATAGACACTTCTGTGGCCCCCATTTTACAGAGGAGGAAACTAAGGCTCAGAGAAGTCAGGCGGCTGGCCAAAGGTTGCACAGCCAGCGGGTGGCAGAGTCAGGCTTCAACCCAGTCCTGCTTATCACCCTGCCCCCAGCTGCTGTCTCTCTCATGTGCTCATGCAAACATTAGCAAACCTTTGAGCCCCCTCCATTTGGAAGCCTCAGCCTGTCCACCTGTAAAATGGGGAGTTAGCTTAGGTCAGGGGTCAGGTTTTTCTGTAAAGAGCCAGGTAGCTTTGCAGGCCAGATGGTCTGTCTCAACTAACCAGCTCTGCCATAACAGCGTGAAAGCAGCCACAGACGAAACATAAATGAATGTGCGTGGCTGTGCTCCAATAAAACTTATATTTACAGAGACTGAATCTTGAATTTCATATAATTTTCACTTGTCACAAGATATTTGTCTTTTCCCCCACAATCATTTAAAAATGTAGACACCATTCTTCGTTCGTGAGCCACATAAAAATAGGAGGTGGGCCAGATGTGGCCTGACCCTGACATGATTCCTCAGGGCTCTTGGAGATGACAAGCTCTCTGCCTCTTTGGCGGAGTGACTCCGCCGGCTGGCTTCTATGAATGGGATCTAAGCCCCCAGACGGGCGGGGAACCAGAACCCCTTTCGTGGGTCCCCCCTCCTGACCCCCAAGTCCCCCTACTGCCCTAGGCCCCTGCCGGCCCAGCCTTCTGTGCTCAGGCACAGTGTTTCCAGGCACCCACCCAGGGGTACAGGAGAGTGGGGGGGTGAAGGGGGCAGGAGACACAGCTTGAGAAAGACAGGAATGGGGAGATGAAGGGAGTGCTGGAGCCATGAAGAGGTGACGGAGTCGGCATGTGCAGCTTGGGGAGGGGACACTGAGAAGGCCTGAGAAAGACAGAAGGACAGGACAATGGGTGTGACAGAGGCGACCAGCCTGGGCCCTACCTTGTACCCCAAGAATGTAGTGCCGAGAGGCAGAGCCCGCGGGGTTACTGGCTGTGCATTTGTAGAGGCCGCTGTCACCGGCCTGGGCCTGAGCCAGACGCAGGGAGCCCGACGGGAGGAGGTGATGTCTATAGGAATGAGAGGCGCTGGTGAGACCCCAACTGACCCCTCCCTGCTGGAAAGGCCTCAAGACCCAACTCAGACCAGTCATCTCCCCCCAGGAAGCCTGCCAGGACTGAAGCAGGGCCCACTACCCACACTTTATTTCTCCCCCACCCCCCATCCCCGCCCTACCTCCACTTCCCCAAACCTCCAGGCCAAGGCCAGGTCCCACCCCAACTGTAGATACAGAGAGAGCACTGGGTTAGGAGTCAGCCAGCTTGGGTTCAAGTCCAAACTCCGAACCCTTCCTAGTTCAGTGAGGCAAGTCACTTCACCTCGTGGAGGTGCCATTTCCTCATCTGTAAAATGGGCTTACTGGGAGGGCCTATGTCTGGGGCTGGTGAACAGGTTCCATGTGGGCTGAGCCCAGGGCCCGGCACCTCGTGCACACTGGACACCTGCTCACGCCCCCTCCTCTAACACACACACCTGCATTCCTTGCCCTTGCCCTGAGGAAGGGGATGGGGGAGTGAATGTTCTATTTGAAAGCCCTTCCATGGCTTTGGGGGATAATCTGCCAGCCCAGGGGCCCTGTGCGTCTAAGTGCCAGGGCCGGCCAGACGCTGAATCCAGTGTTTTGCAATGTTCTGTTGTCCAGCACTGTGTTGGGCCCTTAGGAGGAAGCTGTGGGGGCTCGCATCACTGTCCTCCCCAATCCAGCCCACTGTGCTGAAATCACCTGGCCCCATCCCACAGGGATCTGGGACCCCCAGCCAGGCTTCTGCAGCTGGGCTGGACCCAAGGGGCCCCCGCAGACATGATGTCACTGCCCATATGTTTTGGCTCCTCGCAGCCTCTGCCCCCATAAAACAGAGAGGACAGCTGTGGCCACTGGACCTGGCTGGGCCCAAATGCAAGCTCATCTGGATAACACCTGCTCAAACCTCAATACTTAGGTATGACCTCCTCCAGGAAGGCTGCCTTGATGCCCCGAGGCTGGTCGGTACGTCCTATGGGCTCCCACAGCTGCCTGGGTTTCCCCCATTGCAGCCCTCCCCACATTGGCTGGTGACCCAGTTCTCTCTCCACTTTCCCAGCAGCTCCAGCAGGTTTGGAGGCTGCAGCCCAGGGGTGGGTTCAGGGGCAGGGGAGAGGTGAGGGAAGTGAGGAGCACACTGTCACTGTATGCCTATGGCGTAATTAGCGGCAGCCGCTCCACGGTGGTGCAAGCGGCCAGATGGCTCCGCGTGGCGCCCAGATGAGAACGGGGAAGGTTCGTGGGGAATTTCCTGTTTATGACATCCATCGGGCTCGAGCCTTCGTGGTCGGCTTCAAGATTCACACAGATGGTGGGGTGTGGATCTGAGCGGGGTCCACCTACCCTGCCAGGTCCCTTGGGTCCTGCAAGCTCCAGGGGGGACCTATCTTCCTAGAGAGACCAAAGGGCTCCCGATATAGAAAGTGCTCAGAATCATGCATATTTCTAGGCCACCTGGTCCATCTCACTCCTAGTACACGCCTTCCTGACACCATCCTCATTGGTCACCTTTCTGGTCCACCCCCCATCCTCTGTGGCTCAGGGCTGCCACTGCTGCTGCCCCAGGCAACGTCCTGCTCCCGCTTACATGCACCTGGAGTCATTATAGTATTTATCATACCTGTGATCACTTGTCACTGTCAGGTGGCTCCGTGACAGGACAGGACAGGTGTGCGCAGGCCCTTGCTGTGCCCCAGCCCTTAGCACATGTCCTGACCCACAGCAGGTGCTCAATAAATATTTGACGGCAAATCCCAGCGGTCCAAGGACACACACTCCCCTTCACAGCTTCGCTCACACGGCTTCCTGCCCGCGACCCCCTCTCAAGGCCACTCTCCTGCCCTCCGGGCCCCCCTTTAGGGCAGCACTGGCTTTTCCCAGCTCTGAGCTGCATGGAGCCCAGTTCAGCCAGTTGCTCGCTCATTCATTCATACATTCATCCACTCATTCGACAAAGAGCCCTTGGGTTCAAGGTAGGCCGGCTGCTGCAGGGCTGAGGACATGCTCCTATCCTCAGATTGTTCCAAGTCTGGGTGGTCTGTCTGCATCCCACGTTGTTTGCCCTGCTGTCCCTGTTTCTAAAGGACCCATCTGCAACCTCACCGCACGACCACAGAGCCTTCCTGGAGGATCAATGGCCGCGGCTGCAAAGTCCTTCCTGCAGTTACCCAGCCCACCAGAGGGCTAGCCCCCATCCACAGCTGCCCGCGATGTGCAGTGTATGCCAGACCCGTGTCGCCAGGGGCCAGGGTGGGGTCTGAGCCTGCACGCCAGGCAAGGGCCCACCCGCTAGCACCAGTCAGCCAGGACCTTCACCCACCAATGGCTACTCTGAACCTCATCTCTTTGCTGGAGCCTCACCCACACCACAGACCCTTGTAAGGAAGCCCCACATGGAAAAACTAAGCAGGAGAATTCAGGAAGAGCAGACCAATCCCCACCAAAGGGCCAAGCACAATATATGACAGACATGCCATCCCTGTGGACCCGCAAAACATACACCCAGCCATGCTAACGGGTGGCTGTCAACGATCGAGTGCTTCCCGTGTGCCACCACACAGCTGAGCGCCCTCCCTGGGGGGAGCACAGCAGGCAGGTCCTACTGTCATCACCCCATTTTCCAGAGAAAACTGATACCAGAGAGATGGAGAGGCCTGCTGTTCAAGCCCACCCAGCTGGTCAGGGCAGACCTGGGACCCGCCCTGCGCACTCTGCTACCGCACTGCCAACCACTGCGGTGACCGAAACGTTCAGCTCAGGAGTTTAGTTCACTGCAAAGTTCTCCAGAAAGAGCTGCTGGCCACAGGCTGACATAACCGGACCTCGGAGCCACCAGGCCAGGAAGCAGCTAGAGCTGTCAGGACCCACCAAGATGAAGACCCCACCAGGGGCCCCTGGGCAGTCCACGCCATGCTGCTGAGGGAGCAGCTTGTCTCCCAGGTCACCAGAACCCCAGCTGAAGCCCCCATCTCTGCACTGTGGGGTAACTGGGCCAGAGAGTGGGTGGGGTGCCGACTGCTCATCCTCTCACTATCCTCTCCTCGCCAGCTGCCTCCTTCTTACCCCCCTGATGCGGCTGGATTTGGCCCCGTGTGGGACCCTGGCCAGCTGCCCCCGGGAGCCTGAGCAGGGCCAGGAGCACTCACAGCTGTCCCAGCCACACATCAGAACCACAAACAAACACTGTTGCCTAGAAACATCGCCTCGCCCCAGCATTCCCGGGCGGGTGGAATCATGGGACCAGAACTGGAGGCGCTCTCTCTGGCCACCATTGCCTGTCTAGCCCTTTCATTTCTCAGACTGGAAGACTGAGGCTCACAGAGTCAGGACAGGTCTTGCCCAAGCTCACGCGGGTCTTCGCCCCTGATCTCACACACAGCAGAGCTCTTGTCTTCTCTTCTCTCCCCGATGTGGTTTCTGCACAGTCCTGGGCACATAAGTTGCTCGAGAAATCCCGCTGCCTTCAATTGTGAATTCACAGCCCGCATGGGCTTTTCACAAACATCCGTCCCTCCGGGTCAGAAGCACTCAGTAATCATTCCCGCCCTTGGACTCAGCCGTTTCGGGACTATCCCCCAAGGAAACGACCAGAAGATAAAGAGAAGCATTTGTGCAAAGATGTTCCAACAGCCCCATTTATTCCTGCTGAAAACTGGCAACAGAGCACATGCCCCAAACAGAGGAACCGCTTAGCAACAATGACAGACGAATGCCCTGGAATGTTCAACTGTCCTTTAAATGAAAAGCAAGTAACATGGGCCAGGATGAATCAAGAAAATAGGTAAATGCGAAAAAAATGTCCGTGATGAGGGCAGAAGAGAAGATGCACTAAGTTTAAGTCTATAAAAGCATCTACAGGAACGAACTGGAAGGGGCTGTGGACACAGCAGGTGGTTTACACAGCAGGGGCCGTGGACACAGCATGGCCACTCAAGTTCCCACTATGGTTTCTTCCTACCAGGACTTTCTGACTCGGGGGTCAAGGGTTCCTGAGAGCTCAGAAGACTAGACCCTCCAGGGAGAGCAGTGGCCCACCTGACCTTGGACCAGAAGCCTGATATGTGTGTGGCTGTGTGTTCTTATGTCTGTGCGTGTCTGTGTGTATCTGTGTGCATGTCTGCGTGTCTGTATCTGTGTGCATGTCCGTGTGTGTCTGTATCTGTGTGCATGTCCGTAGTGTGTCTGCGTGTACCTGTGCATGTCCGTGTATCTGTGTGCATGTCCGTGTACCTGTGTGCGTGTCCGTGTATCTGTGTGCATGTCCGTGTGTGTCTGTGCGTGTCTGTGTGTATCTCAGCCACATTATGGTTCTCAACCTGACTACACCACAGAGTGACCGGGGACAGTGGGAAGGGGCCACCACAGATGAGGGGGCAGCTCTATCAGGAGGAAGGAGCATGAGGCCCAGACCAAGGGAAAAAGACGGGGCAGCGTGGTCAGCAGCTGGCACCTCCCATCGAGAGGGAGCGAGCTGGATCCTGGAGGGTGGACGAACACCTACGACTCATCGACTCATCGGAGCAAGCTCTCAAGCTTCCAGAACGGCAGCTTTGAAGCCGAGCCTTGCGACTCCCTCGGAGGAGGAAGAAAAGCGGAGGACGAGGAGCAGACAGACAGCACTCCCGCGCCACCTCCACCACAGCACCACACCCCTCCGTGCACGTTCTCCGTGGGGTTTTTCAATCTCCACTTTCTGGCTGAATGGCCGTGGAACTGCAGGAGCTGTGTGTCTGTGAGACAGCTGAACTTTGCTCTGTGTGGGGGAGCTGTCAGGACGCGCCAGGGAGGCCCCGGAATCCCGGGACCCAGAGCCCACGGATGAAGTTTGAATACAGTTTAAACACAATCTGAAGTCGGGGAGGTTACCCCCAATTTCCAACAAGGGGCAACAACCCAAGTGTCCATCAGCTGGTGAATGGGGAAACAAAAGGTGGTGTATCCACACGGAGGCATATTATTCAGCCGCAAGAACGGAACGAAGTGCTGACACACCTACGACGTGGATGAACCTAAAAAACCGGATGCTACGTGAAAGCAGCCAGACACATAAAGCCACATACAGTATGACTCCATTTATATGAAGTGTCCAGAACAGATAAATCCAAAGACAGAAAGGAAACTGGTGGTTCCAGGGGCTGGGGTAGGAGGTGGCTGCCAATGAGTCGGTGGCGGGGTGGGGAGGGGAGGGTCTGGAAATGGTCTAAAATTGATGGTGGTGATGACTGCGCAACTCCGAATATGCTAAAAAAAAAATCTAGAATTGTACAGCATGTGAATGATATCTCAATAAAACTTGCATATTTAAAAAGTGGGTGAGAATGAAATGGGATAACAGATGGGTTCTTTTTTAAAAGCTGAAAATGATGCTTCAGTTCGCGAAGAGCAGCAAAAACACAATATGAAGGGGAGCAATTTTCAGGCGCTTACGACACACTACGCATGGCACATCCATCACTGTGTCACACGAGCCTTATTTAAACAACGTCCATGCTACAGATGGAGCCACAGGCCAAAGGGGAGCCGGTGGCCACCTGAGGCCACGCGACGAAGATGGAACCAGCTGGGATCCGCACTCGAGTTTGATGAGCTGCAGGGTCTGAGCTCTTCACCCCAGTCCCACCCCCAGGCCTGTCTTCCTCCTCATTTAGATAAACTCCCAGAATCTCATAAATCTCTGGAGAAAGCTGGAAGCCAGCAGGAAGCGGAGAGGGCGAGAACAAAACTCTAGGATTGCAAAAGCGGCTTTCACAAATTTATGGCTCCCGGTTGGTCTCTCCCTGCATCACAACAAAAAGAGGTGAGCTGGGGGATTGTGGTGCCCCGTTTCAGTAACAAGTCGTAAATAAATAAGCACGTGGCCGCCGGCCACCGCCCAGCCAGTGAGTTATGATCAGACTTTCTGGGGAGAGACACAGGCTCCCATGCCCCCCACCCACGACATGGAGCTGCACAGACACCCACAGGGCATGGAGGCGGGCACTGCTGACCCAGCCCAAGCCCAGGACCCCAGCCCGTTCAGAGGTACAGCCTTCATGGTTTGGAAGTTCTCACCAAACAGATGTTCTGAGATGCACAGACTCACATGTGGGTGTCAGAGGGGTGGGGGCCGCACAGCAGACTTCTCAGAGACCTTCTCAGTCTGCAACTTCTCAAAGACGTTGCCAGGACTGATGTCATTGGTCAGAGATGCAGCCGTCCCCCCACCCCCAAGGGTCATGGACCCCAGGAGTTTCGAGGCCCTCTTGTCTGGAACCACCATCCCCCACGCCCCTGCGGCGGGGGGTGGGGGGGCGCAGCCTAGCTTTGAAGGACACCCAAGCCAGCCTCCCCCGACTCCCATGATACCTGACAGTTAGAGAGAAGCTAAGTCAGAAAGCCCGGCCGCCAGACATGTGCTCTGGCGAGCACGTACATGCACGAGTCACAGTCAGGACACCACCCCGACCGTGGCACTGCTCTTTTCCATGACCCCCAGCAGCCCACCCCACTTCTCCGAGCCTCAGTTCAGCTCAGATAACAAGGGCTGCTGTGCAGATTATACGAGCGTCTGCACCAGCTCCCAGTGAAACGCTGGGTGCGTGTTATTTCAGAGGGGTCTCACCCTGGGCGTCCACGGACCTTCTAGAGGTCTGCTGAGAGGCTTCAGGAGACCTAGACACAAAAGTGCTGTGTGCCAAAGTGAATGCACATCCAGCTGGGAGTGTCCACAGGGTCCCTCACACCCCCTGGGTCACTGGCCACTTTGAGACCAATTTTCCCCTAAACCTCAGCTTTGCCTCCTCCCCATGCTGAGGCCATGCAATTGGGGTTACCTGTCAGAGACAGGCAGCACAGGGCGGGAGTCCTTGATCCAGGTGACCAAGGGGGGTGGGGACCCCTGGGCCTCACAGTCCAGAGTCACCTCATCACCGGCCTTGGTTGTGACGTTCAGAGGCTTGTCTGTATCATAGGAGCCGTTCGCATGGATCCTGGGCTTGGCTGTTGGTGGAAGCAGTCAGAAACTGTAAAGCAGGTCAGGGGGCCGTGGGATGGGGCCTGGAGGGGGCCAGGACAGCCCCCCCAGGAAGCAGAGGGGGTGATGCCACCCGGGAGGTGCCGAAGGTAGGTGTGGCTCTCCTAACGGGAAAGTGCAGGTTTGGGAGTGGGCTCAGATCTGATGATTTCCCCAGTACCTGCCCCCACCCCCATCTCTCCACCACCACCCTCCCTCTGGAAGCTTGTCCTGTGATGACACTGACATGGTGGCTCCTCTAGCTCCTTTTCACCCTGCTGTTCCTTCCCTGGGGACATTCGGGCAGGTTCCTTCCTCCTCCTCTTCTCTACCTGGTACCCCATGATCACCCCACTCTTCCCAGGACGTCAGCCACCAGGTGATGCCTGGTCTCCCTCTGGGCTTCTCAAACCCCGTCGGGGTTTATACTGATCTGTGCACAACACCTCGCTGCCCTGTTAAGCCGAAGGCTCCTGACAGCAGAGATTACCTCAGACCCCTCCTTCTTGATGCCCCCTACATTTCCAGGCAGGTGCCCATACACTGAAGGCACCCATAACTAAACAAGCCAGGCAGCCCTCATGGGGACCTCTGATATATCATGAGTCAGAGAGAAGTCCCCCACTTACAAAAAAAAAAATGTTTTCAATATGAAAATACCGGCTCTAAGTATAAGCTAGAAGATTGTGCATTTGCTCATTCGTCCAGACATCTGTTGAGGGCCCAGCTCTGTGGTGACTGCTGGGAAACAGCAGCAAGGACAGGTCCTGCCCCTGTTCTCACAGCACCCAGGGCCCACAGGGAATGCTGGCACCAGACAGCTCAGACGCAGCTAATTCTTTCATTACAGTTGTGATGGGTGAATTAAGAGGATATTCTGCCTTTCATAGCAAGGCGACTTGACCCAACCTGAGAGGTCAAGGAGGGCTGGGGTCTAAGGGGTGGGCAAAATCAGTTGGGCCAAGGGCTGGGGGAAGGGCATTCTAAACAGAAAAAACTGCACGTGCCAAGGCCCTGAGGCAGGATGAACCATTCAAGAAACTGAAAGGAAGTCAAAGGGTCTGGAGCACAAAGAATCAGAGATAGAGGTGGGCAGGGGCTGCCAAAGTGGGGGGTCCAGTGTGTAGGGTTGTGTGACTTTCCAAGGCTTGTTAATTTGATGTCTTCCCCACATTGGTTACAAAGGGCTGAGTTGGAACCACTCTTTGAGCATGTCCACACTACTGGGGACAGTGATCTGAGTGAGGACAGCTTTGGCCTACATGCCCTTCACATGGGAAGAATTTCGAGGCAGGGTACGGGGAAGGGGCGGTAAGGTCAGACTGTTCATGTCCCTGCCTCCACGCCTGCTGCGCCCCACTCCCAGGACAGGGGTGGCCATCACTCACTGTTGACAGAAAGCCGCATCTCCTGGCTGGAGAAGCCCACAGCGTTGGTTGCCGTGCAGACGTAGGCGCCTGCATCCCGGACGGATGGCTGGGCAATAACCAAGGTGCCATCCTTTCTTACATTGTAGTGGGAGCTGCTGGAGGTCAGGGCATTGGCTTCCTGTGATAGAGTCACAGGTGACATCAGCAGAGCCCACACCCCGTGGCAACTTGCATCATTCCCTCCCCATGATGCACTGGGCCTGCCCCTCTGCTAACCCGCATGGTAACAGGCTCCACCTACCTTGGTCCAGGTGATGGTGGGGGTCGGAAATCCCGAGGCCACACAGGGGAGAGATACTGGAACCCCTTCATTGGTGACATGGTGGGTGGCAGTACGCTGGATTCTCGGTGGCACTTTTAAAAACAAACCGATTTCATAAACCGAAGTTCACAGCAACATTATTTACAGTAGCCAAAAGGTGTAAACGATTCAAACATCCATCAAAGATGGTGGAAAAACAAAATGTGGTGTCTACATTTGGAATATTATTCAGCCCTAAAAAGGAATAAAAGTCTGATGCATACTACAACATGGATGGACCTTGAAGACATTATGCTGAGTGAAAGAAGCCAGTCACAAAAGGACAAATACTGTATGATTCCACTTATGTGAGGTCCCTAGAGTGGGCAAATCCATAGAGACAGGAAGTAGAACAGTGGTTACCAGGGGCTGGGGGAGGGGACGGGGAGTGAGACAGAGTTTCAGTTTAGGAAGATGAGAAAGTTTTGGAGATAGATGGTGGAGATGGTTGCACAACCATGTGATTACCCCTGAATTGTGCACTTAAAAGTGGTTAAAATGGTCGTTTTAATGTCACGTATATTTTACCACACACACAAAAACAATTTCAACAGAAGAATACAAATGGTGTATCCACCATAGCCATCACTGCTATAAATTCAGGCCCCAGACAGAGGGCAGCCTGTGCCTGGGAACCAACCGTGACGTTTCTTTGCTCTGAAACTTTGG